GGCTCTCACCGGGGTATTCTGGATCCCCGATAAGTGATTAATGAGAGCCTGGTTTTTGTGAGCTGGACTCTGAACCACAGACGGCAAAGCAGGCTGCACAATGAAAGCAAAGGCATTCATCCCCAGCAAAATAAAACAGCTTGAAAAGTGAAGTTGCTTTTTTAATCAGATGCTTAGAGGCTGAAAGACATTCACTGCTGGAAAGAAAAGGGCGAGTGAAGAGCAGGCTGGCAGCTTTCCAGGCAGTGGACAATATTGACTCTAGAATAAAATGGGTTTTGCTTAGTGCCCACCTCAGGGCACTAGCCTCCCTGCTTTGGAATAAATCATGCAAGCAATTCCCCAGCACAGGCTGACCCTCGGGGGCTGACCCCATGTGCCACAGCACCCCTTCACCAGACACATGGACACCGAGCTGGCAAGGGCTCAACTGCTGCTGCAAAGATAGCATGCCCAGAGACAGTACCCAATTACCCCCGTTGCTACCGCCTTGGGCTTCAGCCCATGATATGTGGTGGGCACCACACTACCTCAAACCATTTCTGATGGGATGCTGCTCATCTCTGCCTCTCCTGGAGGGCAAAGGAAGCAAACAACAAATAGGCCAAAACCCATACTTGTTATCTAGGTCTTTTTTGCCATGCTAAAATAAAGTAAAAAAGCTGAAGTTCTGATCTGGAAACAATCCTTTAAATTCCACATCAATGCAAGCAGCAGAAAAGCCACTGTTTTTGTTCCAAGGAGGAGCAAAAATTAACTTTGACACCATCGATGTTGATGCCAACTGGTAGTGCCTTCTGGATGCCTTCATTTAAGCACAGTGCTGTACAGCTTCTCCAGCCCCACAGAAGGCTGAGAGGGGAACTCTGGAAGGAGCCACAGTGAAGGACACAGCCAGTCAGAAATCCAGGTTTGGGAAGGTTCTAGGATATAGTCCAAGCAAAGTACTTCAAAATTGTTCACACTGGATGTACATGTGAAGGAAATCTGACCAGCTGTATCTTAACTTTAAATAAAAGCCAGAGAGAGAGAACACTGGTTCTGTGCAGTCCTATAAAGGAGCAGCTATCACTAGGCCTACTGTTTCTCCCCCTCATATTTCCACTTCAGGTTACTCACCCCCTTTTTTAGCACTGACCACTCTCTGCTTACATGGCCTCTGAGTCTTTCCTGATGCTTCTATTGTCAGGACTTGTCAAAGCCACCAGGGCACCTCTCTCCAGTACTAGTTTAACCTCTGCAATGCATGGGCTTGGAAACTCCAGCACAGAGACCCAGCTGTGAAAGACTGTCAAGATATCTGCCAGCAAATTATGACTTGAGAGAGCTTGAAAGCTTGTTCAGCAGGACACACTGCTCTTAAGATGCCTTGCCAGCTACACTGCACGTTTTGCAATCGTTGTTGAACCACAATGCACAGGGGGCAAGGGTGCAGGAAGGGCGGCTCATGGTCAGCTCTCAGCAATGTGGGATTTATTTTACGTATATTTAACATAGCATGATTTCTAATTGCAATTGCCACTGAAAAGAAAGGAGAAAGGGTAGGCGAGCTGGAGAGAGAAGCAGTTACTGGCAGCCTGGACTAGTGATGTGGTATACATAACTGGATCAGTGGTTGTCCTAATGCTGTGGGGAAACTTGGCAGCTACCACTGTTCTGTGGTAACTGCTGAAACTGGTGCTACCACTGTGGGCTGTGGAGACAAAGCTGGTATGGAAACTTCACATGAAAAAAAAAGAAAGAAAAAGAAAGAAAAAGCAGAAAGCAAAAAATAAAGGGCCAAATACATTATAACAGAACCCAAAGACAATAATCTTTTGTAATCCAAACAAGCTGGGCAAGCCAAGCCATTGTTGAGAATCTGAAAAGCTCTGGACCAAAGGAAGAGGATAAAAATGAAGAAAAAAGGTCATACAACTCCTAACGGAAAACATGAAAAGCATATTGAATTGCAGAATAAACCAGTTTATTTTCCTGAGGAAACATCAAAGCATAGCGTGTTCTACATTCTCTCACTAAAGGATTACGTAATTAAGTGTAAGAGTAGCTCTTTCTTCCTAATATCATCTGCACCTCTCTACACCTATGTGCAAATGGCAACAAACAGTGAGGTTAGTGACCAAAAACCAATTCAGACAATTGATCATCTGCACTGTATATGATAAAAGTTCAGCAGCATTTTACTGGCGGGCCAAAGTGCCATCTGACATTTTCTAGAAAAGGAATATATATGCTAATTTATTCTCCATGATAGATAGTGTCCTTAGAAACAAATGCAAAACAGACATGTCCTCGGCCACTGTGTCTTGGTGCATCAGTTGAATCCAGGAATAAGAAAGGGAAGAAAATAGAAGCAAAATCGTTGAAGTGGAAAACAGCCACTAAGAAACCTGTGCCACCTCAAACCATCACATCTGAGGGCCCACCAAACTGAAAATGTAATGTTTTGTCCACAATCACAACCATTAAAATTAACCCAGACTTTTAGATAAACAGAAACTGATTTCTTCCCCTCTGCCTAGGGGATCACTGCACACAATTCAACAGGTAACAAACACCTTAGGCAAAACCTTGCAAAAATAAATGGATCTTTATTCAGAAGAGCTCTGTTTACACAAATGTATGGCAATAGAGCAATTTCCTCATAATTTTATTGTCCTGAGGCAACCAAAAAGAGGTAACTGATGCACTAGTTGTGCAATATGGAGCAGCTGAAAGATTCAAATTCTTTTATTAGGACAAAAATGTAGGCCCCATTTTTCACTTCCATCCAGAAGTCAAAAGGAACAGCAGGGAGAGGTAGCCTCATCACAGTCTCCACATGCTTCTAATTGGCACAGGTCACCTTTATCTGGGACAATACTGTGATGAATTCAGATTTGAATTTTTCAAGTCACAGTTCAAGCCTTTATTCCAGAATAACTGTTTACAGCTAAGCATATCTGTACTGAACTGATGACAATTTTTGCATTGACCATATTAGAATCTCTAACTGGATCAATGTGTATCCTAGACTTCAAGAAATTTAGAAAAATCAACTGGAAAAAACCTGTTTTCCCCTCCCTGCTATATGCTAGAGCTAAGAGAGTTTACAAACCAGTACTGAAAAGCAGCACATTGAATCAAATCTGCCAGTTTGACTTACCAAAGTTCTTCTACCTTACTCAGTATTCTACATTTAGAATTTCTGTTCCTTTTGCTAATGCCAAACAGTATTAACTATGTAATAACTGTTTTTGATAAGGTAAAGCGCTATGCACACATTCACAAGTGAGGTAGAAACTAATATACAGAATTATCTCTTCACTTAACTTTTAAACTGTCCATTGCTGTATGAATCTCATCATTCTGTTGGTGATTTGGACTGAAAAAAATAGTGTAGTAAGTAAAACTGCCACTGAGTTTTTTGACATTTCGTTTGGAACCTCTAGTGTGCATAAATAGTTATTTTTCCTCTTCATGCTTTACTTCGTATTTATCAATACCAAATTTTATCACTGTGATGCCCATTTGTGTTAATCACTTAATTCTTTGCAGTACCTCACGGTCATTCTTGTTTAATAGGAAAAGAGCTGTGGTGTCACCTGCCAATACTGCAACTTCAACCTTTCCAACCTCACTTCCTATCCAGGCCACTAACCAACCAGGGAAATGCAAAACAACTCCCAATGAACCTGAAGAAACCCTCTTTTCCTTCCAACGATGATGACAGAAATCTGTTCTTGCCCTCATCTCAGGAAGTTCATGGCCTATGATATTTCTGTAGCTCTCCCCCATGTTTTCCCTCCCAACTGGCATGTCACATCCTGAAAAAGAGCTTTTCGAAGTCTACAAGAAGCTATTCCTTATTGGTGCCTCCAGAGACATCTGGGAGTTTAACAAAAAAACCTTCCTTCTGCAGAAATTGGGAGAGTGTCTCATGACCTTCCAAATGTTTTGCTGTCTAAGTCCTCAGTTGATCCAGTGTTCTTATTCTGTTCCCATTCTTTTACTCATGCCTGTAGCCTTTTTAAAATGTGAAGTCATCATTCTCAGGGTAAAACTGCATATTCTGTTCAAGATGACAGACAATGATGGTTATTCTCAGATTTACATGTGCAGCACAAACACTTCAGATTATATTAAACTTAGATCATTATTCTGCCATTAAAACATCATTATATTTATGGTCCATAAAGCATGGAACAAAGCAAAAGTTATGTAGAGCTGTAGTTGTATGTGAGAATCCAGGCTTCCAAATCTAAAACAGGCTTTCTTTTTCTCAGTTCTTTTTCTTCCTGAAAGGACATTTACTACAGACACTAAAGCACAAATGGTGTGAAAGTGAAGACCATCTGCATATATTGGGCTTTTGCCTTTACAGGACACGCACAGAACTCACATCAGCAAAGATTAGGGCTCCTCCAAGTAGCCTCTTGAACCCAAAAAACAATGAAGACATTTAGCCAGAAACAAAAACCCCACATCATTCTTTCTGTCTTCACTTTTTAAAGTCCATGCTGTTCATTCAAGACTTTTCATTTTAAGCTGGCTGTGTTCACACAGGCCCATGTTTAAAACAATTCCTAAAGGGATATTCAGACCAAGCTGTAGTGGAATAGGGGAGGCAGCTCTTCCCTTCTGCAAGCTTTCCTTGGTATGTGAAGGCATGATGGCCCAATATCTTGGTTTAAAAGACAAATGTCTGACCCACTGATTCAGAATTTATAAAAAGCTATTCCAAGATAGGAAAATTGTTTAGCTTTCAGAAAGATCTCCTGGCACATCTTTGCCTTTATATGCTTGCTCACACATTAAAATGAACTCTCTCAAGGGAGGTCAACTTATTTAAAACATCTTCTAGAAGAAAGATACACCTGAAATAAGGAAATGCATTTTTTTCTAGTGCGCAGGGGTACACCTCCATGTTTGATGCAGTTTACACTAATCAAAGATAGGTACAAGGCAGGCATTGGTTGGGGGAGAAGGTTGACCCCATGCTGAGAAGGACACATTCTTACCAGCCAGTCATGTTGAAGTCACGGTACAGCATCCTCTTTCCAACTTCCTTGCGCTGCACCCTCCGTGGAAACTCTAAATGTGTGAATTCATTTCCCAGCAAGTGAGGCTGCATGTAAGCCTGCGGGCAGAAATCAAACCACAGATACCACATAAAAAAAGACATCTTCTCTTTTTAATGAGATGATATTACCATCCCTTTCTGGTCCCTTCCCACACAAATTCCACCCACTCCTCTACCCTTCTTTTTAAATAAAGAAGATGATGTGCTCTTTTACAGGAAACAATGAATATACACCATTTCTGCCCCTGCCTGAAATCCAGACGCAGCATTATAGGGAACAGTCCTTTGCCCTCAAAATCTTTCATTTCTTCTCCCTGCTCCTCAAGATTTGGGATCTCCAAACTACACTTCATCCATTGACTCTGAAGGAATCTGTAGAGCTTTGTAAAAAAACCAGAACATATGCCCTTTTTAAGTCAGTAAGAAACAAAGGAATGATCAAATACAAAGCCATGGAGGCAATTGGAGGGGTGAGTGTGCAGTGAAGCTCAAGCTTTTTAACTCCCAGTTTAGTTATGCCAACAACACAGGAAACCTAACATTGGTACCACACTTTATCACCACCTCAAGAAAAATGCACCCCATCACACGACACTGCAAACAAACAAGCTACAGAGCAATTTATTTTCTTGTTTTTGAAAAACTACATCCTTCATGCAAAACAGACTTTTAGAAAAGCAGCAGAAGTTTTGTGTCACAACTGCAACGAAGGTCCTTGATAGTTCTAATGTTCAATTGCTGCTCATGTCCTCTCTGATGCACTGCTCTGCAGATGCTGGGAGGCCTCTTTGCCAGAGTTGTGCCTCTGGCTCATATTCTCCAAAGCTGACGATAGTAGAGAGCATTGCAAGGCTCTTCATCCTGTGTAAATTTTTGGATTGAACTCATACACTGATCACTTGACATGATAGGTTAATCCTAAACACACTTTATTTATTCTTTCTGAAATAAATCTTACTCCTTTCTCTTTAGTACTCAAATAAGCAAGCCTTTCTCTCTTCCTCCGCAAAGATGCATTGTGAGTGAGCACTTATAAAAGATACAGTCAAATTAGATAGGGAACTGAAGAAAGTTGCATTTCTTAACCTTTTTGCAGATAACTCTTTTTCCTTATCCAGCCAGTTAAGGCAATAAAGTCTGTCTTATCTTCAGCAGCAGCTGCCATCAAGGAAGATGAAATGAGCTGGGGTTTAGTTTGTGTGTTATGTCATAAATTTAGTGCTCACCAAAGGTAGAGCAGCAGGAAGCACTGAAAGCCCTTATTGATCTACCTGCCACCTGTCATGCAGATAGTTCACAATAAAATATTCCCTGCATTTAAGAGTTGAGCCTGCTCCCACTCAATTTAGTACATCACAACACTTTCTATCAGTTTGTCTCCACTCTTGTCACCAGACATCCTTCCAGAAAACACCTCAAGTTGGTTGGAACAGGACTGAGGAAGGTTTCTGTGTGTAGCCAACAAGATTGGATTCTGCTTCCAAAGAGGTGGCTTTTAAGCACACAATCCCTCCATGGAATAGGAACTCCATCAAATTCTCTCTGTGTAGAGTTAAGGGAATAACATTTTTTTCCTTCAGTCTACAATCAGCCAAGGTCACCTTCTCCACCCAAATATTATTGTCAAGGGCCCTCTAACTGGATCCCTCTCCCCATTACAGAAATGGTTGAGAAGCACCAGTGACTTTTGAGAGGTTCAGCAGTATTAGTCCAAATGAGACTTTTCATATTTCCATAATTCTGAAAATTCATGTAAAAGTACACATAAGTTTTTTATTTTATTTCTTTTCATTCCAGTTGCAAAAAAGATGGAAAATTCCTAACTATTTGATGTATATCAATGTATGAACGATATTTGTTCTTCGTATGATAACAAAGAGCTGGATTGTATTGCTATTTTAAAATTTTTTAGTCTATGATATTGTAAACAATGAAGTCAGTCTGCATTGAAAGTGCAATTCAGTTCACTTTTAAAAATGCACAGCCTATCTTGATTAAACCACTACCAGCTAAATACTGTCACCTGCCTACAAAACAAGGTCATATTTGAAAAAAAACATCACACCTGATATCAAAATGATAACCTTCAGATTGTGAGATTACTGGTCTGAATAAGAGGTCCAGAAGAAAAACACTACAGGCTTTTAGCATTTTTTCAGTTAAAACCAAAATTTCCTTTATTGAAAAGGTAAAGCAATCAGGAGAGACTGCACTGCATAAAGATTTACTCAAATGGAAAGTCTGAGGTCGTAACTGAAATAAGATTAAAGAAGTTACCGGTGGACTGCTAATGTTCAAATAAGACTTCTCTTCTGCAGCCAAGCCTCAAAGTTTGATTTACAATCCAGGGATCTTAACTTGATTCTAATATTTTTGGCATCAGTGAAACAGAGGGTAAAGAGCAATTTGGAATCTGCTGGTGTCTGTGATCTGAATTCTTACATGAAGAAACGGGGATTTTTGTTGTGCTTTGTTTGATTTTTAAATTTTTCATATTTTTTACCATTTTTAACATTTAATTTAATAATTAGTTATTTTTGATGCTTCACTGGTAATTCTACAGAGAAGAATGTTTCTACTATAAAACTAAGCTGCAACTTCCAGTTGGGTTTGTTGAAAACTATTCTCCATGTACAAGGCAGGATTCTTCTCCCCACCTCAACAGAACTGTGCTGGGCAGCAGAACCAGAAAATAAATAAAAAGCAACAGTTTAAAAATCCACATATCTTCCAAACAGATATACAAGCAGAACAATTAAATCCCTTCAAGTGATCAAACAAAACAAAACAAACAAAAAAAAAAAGAAAAGTGAACTGACTACTAGAATTTCACCTGTGATGACACAATGTATTTTCCATTTTAAATTTGTTTGGTGTCGATTTGCAAAAACCTCAGATCAGAAACACCACTCAGAGAACCTGAAAATTAACAAATACTGTGGCTATCCAACACTTCCTATATCCTTACGAGGTATTTTCAGACAACATTGTTATTCTGTGTTATGGAACTGGAACATTTTTCATATTTTCTCTTTCAGAAGCTGTTAGAGTCTTTGACATAAATCTGGCATAGTCTGCATTGTGTGTTTTTGCTACTCTGCCATTTTATGGTGTATTTTGTGGCTGGATGTACTGCATTCAAAATTAGTTGTTCAAAATGGAGTTCCGTCAAAGAAGTATTAGTCATGGTTGTTTAAAAAGGGCATTTACTTCCTGCTGTGTTTCCTGGTGATTAGAAAAGCAAACATGAAATTAAGATAAACCTAGACTTACACAATAGCATGCCAGTTAATTAGGCAGCAGAAAACACTGCAAGTATTTTATCTGTACCTGAGTAAGGCCTGCCACTGGCTTTCCAGCTCCTTCAGTAGGCACTGTACTGGAAAGTCACTGGCACTAGTGGTTTCACTGCATCCTGTGCTATTTTCAGATTTGCTGCTTTCCCCTACACAAACTATATCTTACAACTTCATTGTTTTATCTTATTGTGCTCTTTTCTCCAAAAGAATATTCTACCTATATGGCACTACTGCTCACACCAGCATGCACAGCCCAACGCACCCTGAAGCTTTGCAAATGACTTGGCCATTATCATAAGGACGCACTTAAACCAAAGAGAGATTAAAATTAAAGGATATGGTGGTAAAAGGAAGGAGAAGACCAGAAGCCAAATCCATCTCTTGATTGGTCTGTCATTTTGCAAAAGGCCAGGACCCCTTCCATGGAACCATCCATGGAACCATACATCTCTTTTACCATAGCATCATCTACTGTGTCAGACAGATGAAGCAATCCTACGCTTGGTGATACAGGGAGCCAAAAACTGTAAGAGAATTACATCTTAACTGACTTGTAATTAAAGTGCTGACTGGACATTTAGGAGATCTAGGTGCATTTCCCTTCAGGCTCAGGTGCTACAGGCATCCTTCAGCAGGTGAGTCAGTGACTCTTTTCTCTTCACCTGAGCAACAAAGTAAGAACAGATCCCCTTTGAGCCCATGACAATCTGGGCTCATGCATGAAAGGTGGTAAATACAAAGAGCACCCATGGTCACTGTCACTGGTGGCCACCAAGTCTCTACTAGCAGTGACATCTGCACTGGTAGCAGTGGTGCACCATTTCTGGCGAACTTTTGAGGGGCAGTTTGGCTGTACACATGAAGATGCTACAAACACAACGCTGACCTCACAGGACATCTTGAAAGTGCAACTACAGTAACTAATAGGAATACACCCATCTGCAGCATGCTCAATTCATCATTCATTTTAAAAACATTTTCCAAGGGAGTAAGTAACAAAATCTATCCTATTTACTGTTGCAATTTCAGACTATCATGACTGAAATTAATAGTCTCCTCAGAAGATGAAAGAAAAATTGCTTCTGGCTGACACTGCCTGCACAACTGCTGAATGTACCAGAGCAGTAAATCCAGTAATTTTTTTTTGGATTTTTTTTTTTTCATTCAAGATACACTCATATGGGAAGTCAGGACTTCTCCCAAGCACAGTGTGGAGGTCTCCTACTACAAGAGAGACACAGAGAATCAGAAGAAAATGAGGCTTTTGAATGCTCACTAGTGGGAGGGAAGCAACATGGTGTACTGAACCTCTACAGAAGCTGAAGGACCAAGGGAATACTGGTGCAAAGCTTGCATACCTTACATCTTAAGAACGGTTCTCTGACTGAAGGATTGATTACCTTCTGCAATACTCTCACAAGTTGCATGACATAGAAGTCTGCCTCTGCCATATGGCCTGCCTGAAGTCTGAAGCTAGATGCTGCCCCACCACTGCCCTCCTACAGAGTGATGACCAGGCACAGAGCTGCTTCAAAGTCAGAACAACTGGATAGTCAACTTGTTCTCTTCAGGTTTCCATGCCAGAGGCATGGCAATAAACCTGACAGGACAGGGAAAACATTTGTTTCCCTCCCCCCTAAGTTATTCAATCACTATTAGCTGAAGCACAATTTTGTCTAGGACTAGACTGGAGGACTTAAAATAAAGATATTCACATGACCCGAACAACTCATTATCCCATGGATTTCTTTCCACACAGAAATTAAGGCTCAGAAAAGAGTGCCTACAAGAACATCCTGTGTCACTAAAGCAATCAACAGGCTCTAAAGGCGGAGGGAAGCTCCTTCATCTTGACTGCACCAACAGTGTCTGCTGCACAGAGAACAGCCTGCAGGCTGTAAATCCATACCCTTCCTTTGCTTATACAGTAACTTCCTTATAGTGAACAGTATCTCTGCATTTACCAAGTAAATATTAATGCCAAACTGAATAAGGGATTTTTTTCCTTTTGTACAGGAAGAGTAGCACAACATGCTTGAAACAAAGAAACCCAGCTTTAACTGCAAATAAGAAAAGAGACTCAAAGTAAATAACTTTCAGACAGAATAACAGACCAGAGATGTTGATGGTAGAATAGAGTAACAGCAGAGCACAGGGACAAACAAGTAAGAGGAATTGTTTGGGATTGTTTGGGATCTACTTAGCAAGACAGATGCAAACTTTGGAGTGTAATGCTTATGCCAACCATGCAAGAAATTTGAGGTCATCTTTTTCTTTTTTTTTTAAACACAAGAGTAAAAAATCTTCCTTAGGGAATCTTGTGTTTGAAATGATCTGTAATTTTGTTTCACGCTCTTGCTGTCTTGCATGTATTCTCTTTGAACATGATACCCATAGACCTGGCCTATTTATTACATAAAGAATTAAAATGGACAAACAAAGGTAAAGGAATTTTCCACAGGAAACAGCAGAAATGCTTTTCAGATCAGCTATTGGTTTCAAATTTAAGCCAGAAAGGATATCAAAAGAGAAAAAAGAAACCCTAGGCAATGTTTTGTCTCATATTTCGTACAGAAGTAGCAGACTCCCTAGATGCTAAAGATACCTTTTATTTTAGAGGCAAACAAATTATTTTAAATGCAACCGAACTGCAAATATTTATTATGCCTCTTTTCCATTTGGTTCTCTGAATATGAACAGTCCCAGAGCAGTATTTCCTCTGAAATTTTAAGCTTTAAGCCAATGAATCGACTGAAAAAAATTTAAATGTGACCATTTTGAGGAAACAAAATTTTTTTTCTAAAACCTTCCATCACCACCTTTCAAGCACTGGCATTTTATCTAGTTTCAAACCACAGTGCTTGGTCCACGTTGAAAACAGAAGACGCCTTAAGATCTGAGAAGACCACTAACCTTGGCCTGTTCACCTTGAGTCAGGCAAGGCTGAGAGTTAGCCTGCCTTGACTGAAACTTAAATTTTTAAAAGGAAAAAAACAGAACAGAAGAAGCAAACAGAACAAAAGAAGAACAAAGGAAATCTCTCAGCTCTGTTAGGAATTATATTTTGACAAACAACTAATTGACTTCAAAGTAACAGGATGGTTTGTATGAAAAATAACAAGTTTTGACTTATATTACTCAGGCAGTTTATTAGCCAACACAGTTTGGTCTATATAGCATCCCATGTGTCCCCAGCTAGTCACCCCATCCCAGCTTTATGGGTGCCGCTATAGTACATAAAACTAATCTTTGATCACCCATCCTATCCTGCAGCTACTAATGTTCACTGAGATCACCTCTAAGTTGGATATCTTTCTCTTGATGGAGATACTACTGGCATACTGTCAGAGTAAATTAATTGAACTCTGCAATATTACTCACATACAAACAAAGAGCAGTCTGTGGTATTTTATACTGTCACATAGCAAGCACTAGGATGGATTGAAATACATCTGTGGCTCATTAGCTCTATGTCTGAGCTCTCAAAATCCAACACCACTGCACTGCTGAAGGGTCTGAGGCTGAACAATGTACATAAGCACAGCCATGCTAACCAATGGCCTTTGCCAAAGGGGTAATACTCCTTTCATTGAGATTTGCACCACCAGGATTTTCTCCACATTTGCTGATGGCTTAAAGACATACATGATCAGTCACTGGTGTTCAGTGGACACATCATCCTTCACTGAGTCACAGTAAGTTAACAGTGTTTCTCTGAGCCTTTGATATTACTAGGCAATGCTTGTCATCAGCAGCATCTGATTTGGTCCTCAGGTCTCTTACCAGATACTGAAGTCGCTGGCGTTCAGTCTCTGGAGTGAATTCTGAAGACATTGGAATGACTTCGCCATTTCGGATTATTATAGCTCTGTAAAAGTAATAAAACATCATCAGTGCAGAAAAAAAAAAGGTAAAAAACCCAGAAAACCACAGAGTACAATCACATTCTTATTCTCTTCAGAATCATGTGGACACACACATTTAGAGAGCTAAGGAATTACAGCTTGGACATTCTTTTCAGGCCTGGATTTCTCCTGACTCTCAGCTCCATTCCCAGGCTGACAAGCTGACTACAGCTTCAGTCAGGGAGGAAGTCTCCCAGGTTGACAACATGGTGAAAAACAGAATGGAATTCATAATAAAGATTAACACCTGGTGTCTTTCCCATGGCATACATCCTGAGGTGCTGTCCCAAGGATGTTTTTCCCAATTGTCCAATGAACTACTGTCCTGTCCTAGCTGCATGTAACACACTTTAAATACAGGATGTCCGTACAATAAAGTTGGCCTTTTTTCCCCAAAGAGGTCCGTGTGTGTTGCTGTCTTTTCTCTCTCTTTGCAGTGCAGTAACCACAGAATCACAGTCAAATAAAGCCATTTCTTTTCTACTGAGGTTGTTAGCAGAACAGGATAATTCCTGCCCTACATCCTTTAGGCTGGGTAACAAATATACCTGTATAAGCCAAATTCATTTTAGAGCTCACAAAAACATCCAAGCAACAAAGGCAAGCGTTATTTCAATTGATATCTATAGGGTATCTTTATTAAGTGAAATGCAGACACTCAGAGGAGATGCTGCAGAATCACTGATTGTAGAACGACTCTTTGCAGGTTTTAATACCAGTTGTGGCTGACACTGTTTAAACTACTGGCTTCAAATGACTCATGCAAGCACTTTCCAATTATTAATTGGTCATGTGTCATGTCAGAACATTTCTACTCCAACAATAAATGGAAGTAGCAAAGCAAATCCTATTTAACACCAGTGTAACTAATTTAGTTTAATTTAGTTACCTGCTGAAAGATGGCAGGTAATTGAATGACTGTGGATTAGCCAGGAGATTTTATACACACTTCTGCAAATGGCAGAGAGAAAATTTTCTCAAACTCCTGCCTGCTGCCTCTTAACAATCTGATATGCTGCACACAAAATATGGTCCAATCTTTCCCTGGTATAATGCCACTGGCTGGAAGACAAGTCACAGGAGGGAAGAATTCACCCAATATTTCTACTGCATTCTGCATTCATGTATTCACTCAAACAACTATGTTCCTTTATCTTTCCATTATTCAGGCAGCTCTGTAAGTAGAACAATGTCGGGCACTTTTGATAAACTACGTATCATCCCAAAGACTTTAATGCCTGTTGTGGAACTGCTTCTCAGCCATCAGTATATTAATTCAGTGTTTGGATAACAGCAGTACACTAGCTCTCCTCTTGAATTCAGACAGAATTTGATGTAGCTAAAAAAGGTATTTGCCACTTAGATTCCAGTTTCTCTGTTTTAAATGGTCCCATTTCTGTGATATTTTCACCCCACTGATGTCCTATTTATGAGCTAACTTACTTCCCTTGATAATTTGATCGATTTCCTGTCATTGCCTCTATGCCAGGTGGTCTACTGCCACTGCAATGCAAACAAGAAATATGGTAGGCACATAAAGATTGAAAACTTAAACTTCTAAATTCAAAACATCAGCATCTTGAGAAAAACAACTCAGGTACAAACCTGAATTTCTAAAATTAGTGGCATTGAACAGATTTCCAAGTCTTGGGGATTGGTCATTTGACTAAAATTGTCTCCAAATTGTCATCTACTATTGCTAGTATGCAAAAGGCAGCAGCATTATCTTTGAGTAAATTAACTGTTCACATTTCTGAGATTCATGTGGCAAAGAGCAGATACGTTCAGGATGGTACAACAGTGGCAGATGTGTGAAGAAGCTCTGGCAATGAGGGAGAAACTGCTTTGCTTTGAAAGATAACAAATTTACTGTTCTTGGACTTCCAGCACTTCCTTACAAATAATCCTGTGTAGAAATTAGAGGTGGTAAGAGCGCAGCCTACATACTTGAAGGTTCCCACTGGCCCTTAATTAAAACCAGTATTGTGAACTTGAGACGGACATGGTAGTTGCAACACTTTAATTTCCTAAAAAAACTTGTGCATAATTTTTGACATATTTTGTTTTTTTAGGGAATCTGACTACAGGCTTACAAAAATGCTTCTCCAATTAAAAATGATAAAAGTTAGCTGAAATTTTTTCTTTTGCATTTCTGAAACAGTAATTTAAATATGAATTAAGAACTCTACCACGTCTCTTCTGCAACACTTGCTTTTATTTTTGCAGTTCCAAAGGTATTCAGCTTTGAACCAGATTAATTTACTCAGTGAACATTTTATATAACTTTTTAATACGTTATTTGATTCACTTGAGAAGGCCTCCACTCAAGCAGTCTGTGGGTTTAGTACAGAGTGTGTACTCTGGCAGCAGCCTAGACTAGACTGATCAAAGGAGCTGATCAGACACTAACCAAATTTTACACACTAGTTTAAGTGAGTCATAAGGGATTTTCTGATCTTCTGCTTGTCCGAAAGACCTAATATAAAACCACACATTGATATAACTGCTAGCACATCAGGCTAATTTTCTCGTTATTCTTTGCTTCCCCTTTAATCATCATTTCACAGGAAATTAATCTTTTAATGACCACTCAGACCAGTCTGGGGTTCACCTTTTTCTGTGTTCACACTTCCTATATATTTTGATAACTGTCATTCTCACTTCTATGGGTAGAATTGGGCCCTGAGGGGCTCACATCATATGAAAAGCAATTCAGAGGCGAGTGAGTCAACCTTTCATAGCTCAATTTATTTTCACCAGAATTGGCAGCCACCTGGGATGAAAAGCACAACCCAGCATATACACGTACACACACACAAATCTTCAGAGGAGGAGGAATTAAAGCAACACTGTTGATACCTGGTAAAAGAGAGTTTTATGTTTTTCATTAGTGTTTTCAGCAGTTGGATTTTATTCAACTTGCAAGTTACAGCTGTTCATAAGAGTGAAATGACTTGATCTGAGGAATAAGATAGCTCTTGATATGAGTAAAGGGAAGGACACAGACATAAGTGTACAAAGCACTGGTCTAAATTCAACTGTGGTGAGCTTACAAGTCCATACAGAGCTCTTTACCTTTCTGCACTAACTGCTTAGCTGTATCATGACAGAAAAGGGTATTTCTGATGGCTCAAGTGACAAAAAGGGACACATTTGTTGGCTGTCTCACTGAGGAGGCTGGGTGCAAAAGTCTGGCCTGGGAGCAACCCTGCTCAGTAGGATTTTCCCCTGCGATTGAAAAGGTGCCGAATTAGGCTCTAATTGGGTTTGAAGAATGAAGTGCCCTTTCTGTGACCTTGCAGTGACAGTGCTGCCAAGCAGCAACTGAAGGCTTTTTCCACCGAGCAACCTCTAGAGCCCTGAATTCAATAGCCCAGAGTCAATAACTGCTCACGAGGAGGGAGCCTAGCTGATGCAGCAGCTGCAAATAGCTCCAGCAACTGCTTTTAGAGACCCACTCTATACAGTCCTGCAGGACAATTAATTTTGACTTTACACTTCCTAATGGATTAAGCAGTAGCATGGTGTCACATGAGCATTACTGCTTCTGCCATGCATGAAACACACATGTATGCAAGGAAATAGTGTTCTGAAAGCATTTAACTCCCTGTGTATTAAGGATATATTAATCTATTGTTTTATGCCAGAATACAGCTGTCCTATTAAACTGTCAGAAATAACTACATAGGAAGCAAGAACTACTTGAATAGATGCAGTGCTCAGAGAGCATCTGATTCTGCCATGTTTAATAGTGACATTTTAATTTCCACCACACTGGTGAAACACATTATAGCAGAGCCACGGGGTGAGCCTACCAAAGGTAGATGGATGATTCATGTTTGCAGAGAACAAGTATGTCAACACTAACCAAATATTCTCTGATGACAAGGTTGCTTCAGACCCATACCAATCATTAATTATATTGTCAATGAAGTAATAATTAAAAAAACAAAAGCTTTTTTTCGGCAGGATTGGAAATCAGGAGTCACAGATCTGCAGCCTCCTCAGTGCATTGCCCTCCATGCTCTGATGCTTTCTCCACACAGCATAGTCTACAGTGAGAAACTGCTCTGAAGTCTTGAGGCCACAGAGGCTAGTAAGTCACTTATTCCAATCTCTTCTAAAAATAAACTATATTTCCCTGAGTCCTTTCCTCTCTTTTGAACCCTAACTCCCCACCCACAAGAACTACAGGATTGTACTTGCCATTGCATTTCACGTGCTCTGCATGACAATGAAAGTACATTCACTATTCCAGACCTGGAATATTCACTGTAAACAGGAATATATTGGAGAAAAAATTCCCCAAAGCTTAGCTGAAGTAGCTTAAAATGGAAGAAACAAGAATCTGATTTTGTATATCTTCTGGCCTCACGAGTTCCTCTGATCCAGAGAAGCCCCACCCTGAATAAGTAAATAAGGAGTAAGAGATGTGCCAGTGGCTCAATGCACAAGGCAGAACTGGCAGTCATGGCAAATCCTACAGCTGGCTATATCTGCTCAGTCACATGTAAATTAAAAGAAACACCAGGAGCTTAAAAGGCTGCATATGCATTTGCAGAAAACAGTGTATTTATCTTTTGGATTGACATGACTGTGTAGTCCATAACAATCAGCTAAATTCACACAGAACATTAAGTATATGGTTATTTTCTATATTCAGATTCAATACTTAGAAATTGTATTAGGTGCCTTAGTACACATTTGCTTTTAAAATACATGGAAAGTGAAGCAACAAAAGGATAAAAATCTGCCACTGTGTTGTACTGCTGCTGTGACGCTCAGGATGTAGAAACAACACTGGCATAAGGAAAATACTGATATACCAATTGCTTTTGCATTTTTAATATAGCTAACAACTACCACCTCTCCTTGAATCAAACAGGGTTTTGGATTTTTGTTTGTTTTCTCTTTTGTGGAAAACACAATCAGCTGAAAATTGCACAGCATCCTTTCTATGTTC